GGGTTTAGGGTTTAATTTTTAGGGTTTAGGGTTTAGGGTTTAGGGTTTAGGGTTTAGGGTTTAGGGTTTAGGGTTTAAGGCTTGATCCTACGTCATAGAGTTCTTGCTACGGGTTGTTCTAATGAGCCTGACAAGGGGCCTAACTGCACGAAGCGCCAGAACCTAAACTCTCAACCCTCTAAACCCCAATCTAATATAACATAACATAATGTAATGTACTACAACAGCAATTAATATGATATGATGTAAGTTATATAATGCTATATGATATGATATCAAACGATCTAATACGATATGTTCTTAAGCCCTTATCCAGATCCGGGTCTGGAAGTTGATCTGCAGAAGAGGCGCAAAGGGGCCGAGGTCGAACCAATCGAAGTTGATCGGCATCCGTTTGGATCCGATCTCTGACGCTGCTTAGGGGCCGTTTAGGGTTCGGGTTCTAGGGCTCATGAGTTGGTAGTACTAGTGATAGAAATCGTAGTAATAGTAGCAAGAATAGTAATCGTTCATAGTAGTAATTAAACCCTAAACCCTAAACCCTAAACCCTAAACCCTAAACCCTAAACCCTAAACCCTAAACCCTAAACCCATTCAGTTGGGGGCTTATGATGGCACAGGGGCTTACCACTTGCTTCTCTCTGAGCTCGCTCATGAGACTTGCTGCAGTTCGGTGCTTCAGAGGCAGTCGGTGACTGCTTTGGGTGCTACGTTTCATACGACGAACGGTTAAGAAGTTTGGTTTGCAGCTTGGCAGCGGCTGGCAAAGTTTCTTTGCTGCGAGGTCCGTGCCCTCGTGCGCCTACACTATCTTGATGTGTCCGTGGTGCATCAGCCTTGTTTGAGCCAGATGCTGCAACGATGCGTGTGCTGTGAGCACCCGCACTGTGCCCTTTCCACCCTGACGGCTGCAGAAAATAGCAAGAGCCGAATGCTTCAGTTTATCTTTACTGTGAAAGGGTCAGCGGTCACGGGTGGCTGTTGGAGCGTGGCCCCCTATGCATGACGCAGCTGCTCATGCTTCTCCTTGCACGAGACGGTGCGGGCCTCGACAGGTGCCATCGTTCTCCTCCTCCCTGTCGGCTTCCTCCTTCCAGCCCAAGAATTCGTGTTTTTCTGACATCCGAAGCCCGTTGCCCTACAGCTTCCGGTCTCTCGAAGCACCGTCTGCAGGACAGTGGAAGTCCTCGTCTTCCATGAAGCATGCGTGAGGCCGACGAGCACCACAAGTGTCTCTTTTCGGCTACAGGCCTAGGTTCCCTCTTCATGTGATCTATGGTCCAGCACTGTGCGGCGCGAAGGGTCGGAGGTTTCATGAGCCCCGGGCACGCTTCTCTCCTCCGAGCCTCTAAAGTCTCTAGCCATGCACCCATGTGCCAGCTTGCAGGGTCCAGCCTCTAGCGGGTCTATCACCTTTGCTTCATGTTGTGTCTTGCCCGAGTGCCCTAAACTGCAGAGCAGGAAGCGGCAATGCGGAGCTGCAGCTCAACGAAGCAATCTGTCTTGGTGAGTCCAAAATTCCAAAATGCCGCCTGAACTACGGAACAGAACAGAGACGCTCTTTTGGGCTCTGCCTAAGTAACGCTTTTTTCTCTGTCACTATGGTCCTAAACCCTAAACCCTAAACTCTAAACCCTAAACCCTAAACCCTAAACCCAAAACTCTAAACCCTAAACCCTAAACCCTAAACCCTAACCCAAAGGAATTGGGCCCTCTGGCAGTCCTTGCAAGTCTCTGAGGCTCCTAAGTTGGAAAAAGGGGGGAAGGAGCTCTTTGGGTTTAGGGTTTAGGGTTTAGGGTTTAGGGTTTTGGGTTCAGGGTTTAGGGTTTAGGGTTTTAGGGCGAGCTCTTCCGGTATATAAACAAGTCTGATCCAGCCCAGAGTTTCACCTCTGAAAACGCGGAGTCGAGATCCCTTGACTCACCGAAAACAAGCGCAGGACGGATCGCACCGATGCAGCGATGGGCAGGTAATCGAAGAGCTCCGTCACGGACTGCCAGACCTCTTGCAGGAGTAGTAGTAGTAGTAGTAGTAGTAGTAGTAGTAGTCGTAGGAGTAGTACGGCATCCCCCCCGGTGCGACGCCCACACCTCATATTTTTGGACTTGTTATGGTCGGAAATGCTGTGTTTTACAGCACTTTTTCCGTAGTTTTCGAAAGTGGC